GGGCGGGAGCGGAGGAGGAGGAGCGGGAGGAAGGGCAGCGGCAGAGAGGAAGGGGAGGAGCAGGAGCAGGAGGAGCGGTTAGAGGAGCAGCAGGAGGGGAGCAGAGGAAGGAAGGAGCATTGCGGGGTGGCAGGGCGAGCCCGCGGAGCCCGCAGCTCGGCTGGCCCCGGCAGCATCGCATTGCCCTGCGTGCCGCAGGTGAGCGGGGAGGGGAGGCTCGGCCCGAGTCTGTGGCGGCAGCTGCGGGAGGGGATTCTTTTGGGGGGTTTGTTTGGTGAGGTTTGGACCCCGCCGATTCCGGAGTCATGTCACTTCTAGGGATGGACTTGGCCAGTGGGACCTTCAAAGGCAATGCACTCAGTTCTTGTATTTCTCCCAAAGCAGTATTTCCCATTCCCAAGCCTTATCTGGAGAGAGGAGGAGGCTGTGATGAGCGGAAGCTGCCCCGGGAGCCCCAGACATCTGAGGAGGAAATCAGTGCCCCTTTCCCCCTCTCTCCTGCTCCATCTTCCAGCCCAGCAGGGCCCCCGGCTGCAGGACAGCCCTGCTGCCGATGGTCTCCTGCTGGGGAGGCACTGGGGGGATCTCCTTGCCCTTCCCTCTGGTAGGGAGGCAAATCCCATCCTCTCCTTGTCCTTCCTCCCCCAGGGAAGGAGCTGAGGATGGAGACCAGGGAGGACAAATCCGCACGGCAGAACTTCGTGGCTGAGGCCGTTTTGAGCGTCTCGAGAGTGCAGAAATCCAATGGGGAAGAAAAGCCCTGGGGATCCCAGAATATGAGGGGCTGGAAACCAAGCCCCGTGTGCTCTGAGGAGGAAAGACCCCCCCTGTGTGAGGAAGGCAGCCAGAGATCTGGCCAGGGCTCTGAGGTTGTGGTCCATGAGCAGCTTGATGATGGCAAGAAGCCCCACCAGTGCTTGGAATGTGGGAAGAGCTTCAGAGTCAGCTCCCACCTGATCCAGCATGAAAGGATCCACACTGGGGAACGGCCCTACAAGTGTGGGGAATGTGGGAGGAGGTTCCGCATCAGTTCCCACCTGATCGTCCACCAGAGGACCCACACTGGGGAGAGGCCCTACGAGTGTGGGGAATGTGGAATGAGCTTCTGCACCAGCTCCCAGCTGATCGTCCACCGGAGGATTCACACCGATGAGCGACCCTATGAGTGTGGGGAATGTGGGAAGAGCTTCAGGAGGAGCTCCTGCCTGCACCGCCACCAGATGATCCACACGGGGATACGACCCTATGTGTGTGGGGAATGTGGGAAGGGCTTCTGTGACAGCACTCGCTTGATCATCCACCAGGCAATGCACACTGGGGAAAGCCCCTATGTGTGCTCTGAATGTGGGAAGAGTTTCAGCCGGAGCACTTGCCTCATGGTCCACCAGAGGATCCACACTGGGGAGCGGCCCTACAAGTGTGGAGAATGTGGTAGAGGCTTCAGCCAGAACGCCTTCCTTGTTGACCACCGGAGGATCCACACTGGCGAGAGGCCCTACGAGTGCGGGGAGTGTGGGAAAAGCTTCAGGCAGAGAGCTAGCCTGAGTGCCCACCAGAGGATCCACACTGGGGAGAGGCCCTACAAGTGCGGGGAATGTTGGAAAAGCTTCAGCCAGAGATCCAGCCTGACTGCCCACCAGAGGACCCACACTGAGGAGAGGCCCTATGAATGTTGTGAGTGTGGGGAGAGGTTTCCAAGCAGATACCGTCTCTTCACACATCAGCTGATTCACACAGAGTAGAGGCTCTTCCACTCCCTCAGCTGTGGGAAGGGCATTAAGAAAGACTCCACTCAGTCACCCTTCAGTGGATCCACACTGGGGAAGAGTCCCTAACAATGTCCCACGAGTGGGAAGAGCGTATCCCAGAACTTTACATTGACCCAACAGCAAGGGAGGCAGCAGTAGTGCAGCTCTACAAGTGCTCTGTGTGCGGGAGAAACTGTGTGCGCTGCTCCAACTCCATCCCCCACTGGAGGACCCCCATGGGATGATGCACAGTGGCCCTCGTTGGGCAGAGACTCGATGATCTATGGTGCTGGTGATCCACTGGCTGGTGGTCACATCTTCCTGTCTCCCCTTGGACTCTTTGACTCTTCAGGGGAAAAATCTATTGGGATGCAAACTGATGTCAGGAATTCATTGGGGAAAGCACAGTTTTTTACTTTCAGCCCCAAAAGATCTTACCTTTTGCATCCAGTAATTTCTTCAGGTGGCATCACAGAATACTGGATGGTGTTAGATGTCTTTTCCAACTTAAATTAATCCATTATTCTAATTGTTTGTGGCCCATGGGCATCTTCCACAGCCAAATGGTGATGGACTGGGATGAAATATCAAGATTTTGGAGACAATGGAGTGGAAATTCCTCTACAAAAGATCCTTTCTGCTCACCCAAGGACATGGCTACGTGGCCAGCATGGACACATATATCCTTTTATTTTGGCTTTGATTTTCTTTCATTTTTCTTCATCCCTTCACCCAAACATTGGGGTAAAAATATAGACATTCAACTAAGACATGCATGGTGACACTGTGGGACATGGGTGGGGACATGGTGGATATGGGGATGGGAACATGGACAAGGACATGGGTGTGGACATGGCTGTGGATGGTGATATTGGGCATGGAGGGGGTCATAGATTTAGATGGTGACATGGGGTATATGGCCATGGATGAGGACATTGGGGACATGGCCATGGATGGTGACAAGTGGCGTAGGGGACAAGTCCATGGGTTGACATGCCCATGCCATGTGGTGTCCCATGACCAAGTGTTGCCCTGATTTTTACAAGTGTTTTCTTTTATAGTTCTTTTGAAAGTCTTAAACTTCTCATAAAACTTCTTTAGCCTTCTGATAATGGTTACGTATTTGAGAGTCAGAGTTCCCACACCATTTCATGTATAAATAGAATAGTTTACATATTTCTCTGTGGGTGGAGAGAAATGATTGGTCTTTGGATCACTGTGGTTGGAGAGGTGGTACTTCCATCCTCCAATCCATGGCCACCTTTGGAATTCTGTAAATACCAGATGTTTGAATAAAACTGGGTCTTTTTCTCTTTTGAACTTGCCAAGCTTCTGTGTACCATTTTTGTCCAATAGCCACAACCAAGGACAACACATCCCCACCACCCCTTCATGCTACCGTTTATTTCCTGCTCCTCCCCTGGCCATGACACCCGCCTCGCAGGATGTCCCCACATCCTGGTGACCTGTGTCCCTCAGGCCACTCCCAGCAGTGGCTCCAGCAGCAGCCAGAGCCCGTCCTCGGCACGCAGGATCAGCTCAGGCTTGCGGCGTGGGGGTGGCCTCGCCGTGTCCCTCCGCAGCACGAACCGGGACAGTGTCAATGCCACTACCACCTTCATCTCGGCCATGGCAAAGCTCTGCCCGATGCAGTTCCTGCCAGCACATCCCCACTGTCACTGTCACCCCATGGTGAACCCAGCCAGGGACGGGGGTGGCACCTGGGGACACTCCTGTCCCCGCTCCACCACATACCTGGGGCCAGCAGAGAAGGGGATGAAGGATGACGGGGACCGTCCCTTGCTGTTCTCCAGGCTGAACCTCAGAGGGTTGAACACCTGGGGTGACATCAACACAGTCACGCCGAGGGGACACAGCTGTCACCACCATGGTGACAAGGATACCTCATAGGGTGGCCCTACCTCAGGCTCGGGCCAGAGGTCTGGGTTGTGGTGGGTCCCATAGATGCTCATCAGGCAGATGACCCCTGGTGGGATGGGAATGGCTACTTGAGAGACAGCAGATGAGGTGGGTGGTGACATTGGAGACACCCTGGCCATGCCATACCCTTGGGGATGACACGGCCATCACGCAGGGGGATGTCCTCGGTGCAGCGCCGGGACACAGCAGTGACAGGAGGGTGCAGCCGCAAGCTCTCCTTGATGCACATGGTGGTGAAGGGCAGCTGGGACAGGTCCTCCCTGGGGACAAGTGGGAGTGGCACCGTGTCCCCAAGCCAAATGACCGAGGGTGGCCCTGGGGGCATCTCACCACTCGATGTCTGCAGTGTCCCGGCCAGCCAGGAGCTCCTGGACCTCCTGGCGGCATCGCTCCTGGTGCTCAGGGTGGCCGGCCAGGTTGTAGAAGAGCCATGCCAGGCCACTGGCTGTGGTGTCGTGGCCTATGGGGACATTGGGTGAATGAGGGGACACTGGAGTGGCTCCTGCCCAGTGGCACCTGGGAGCTCATGCCCACCCTCAAACATGAAGGTTTCAGCCTCAGCCGCAATGTCCTCATCTGACAGAGTGTTGCCATTCTCATCCTGCAGGGGTGAGATGAGCCATGGGCCACCTGGGGCCACCGGTCTACAGCCAGATCCCATCCATGGCCACCACCCTACAGGCACCACCATCCCACTGGCCACCATCTCTATGGTCAATGCTGCCCATGACCACCACTGTTCCCCTGTGGCCACCAGTCTATGCCCAGCCCCCCATGGCCACCAGCATCCTACTGGCCTCTATGGCCAACCCTTCCATGGCCACCACCATCCCCTTGACCACCATCCTTCCATGGTCACCACCCTGTGGTCACCATCATCTCCACATGGCCACGACCACCCTCTTGACCACTTCCATGGCCCCATGACCACCACCCCAGCCCCACCTTGCTAAGCAGCAGGAGGTCGATGAAGTCCATGCTGTGTCCCTGGTGGCCATCCAGCCGGGCCTGGTGGTCCAGGCAGGCGAGTGCGCGGCGCCGGCGCTGCACCACATCAGCAGTGAAGGCGTGGACGGTGGCACAGGCACGGGCAAAGCGCCGGCCGTCAGAGGAGAGGCTGTAGAGCCACCACGGGTGGAGAAGTGGCCGGAACTGGCGCCGGACCACCAACGAGCTCAGCTCCAGGATGGCCTGGATGTACTCGCTGGGCTGCCTGCGGAAACCAGGGACAGTGGGGGGACACTGTGGCCACCAGCATGGATGATAGCAGGGCCATTGGGGCCACCAGAATGGCCAACGGGGACAATGGTGGAGTCACTAGGGCCACCAGGATGGCCAACGGGGACGGGTGACACTCACTCCTGGCAGTGGCTCTCATGGCTGAAGATGCACTTCTGGAGCGTGTCCAGGGTGAGGAGGCTCAGGGGCTGCAGCACCTCCAACTCCACCGGCTCCCCGCCAGCTGCCGCTGCTGCTGCCCCCCACTTGGCCTGTGGGGACGGATGGGTTGGGGAGGGAACAGGGAGAGGGGATAAACTGGGGGGTAAGACAGGGGTAGGAGAGGGAGAAGAGTTGGGGTGGGGGTGTGGAACAGGGATGCGGTGATGAGTGAGGGGGTGGGGCTGGGGTTTGGGGACAGGTTTGGGTTTGGGGTATGGGACAGTACAGGATTTGGGTACAGGACGTGACTTTGAGTGCAGGACAGGACTCAGGATGCAGCAGTGGGTGTAGGACAGAATTTTGGGTGTGGGACTCAAGGTTTGGGCTGCAGGTCAGAGTTTGGGGTGCAGCACTCGTGATTTGGGGTGCAGGTCAGAGTTTGGGGTGCAGCACTCGTGATTTGGGGTGCAGGTCAGAGTTTGGGGTGCAGCACTCATGATTTGGGGTGCCGCTGGGGACTCGTGCGCATCTCGGATCTCTCACGAGCAGCACGCGGGTGCTCTGGTTGAAGATTCCCAGGTAATTCCGCAGCACGTCCCCGTGGAAGGCGGGCGTCAGGAGCCGCCGGTGCCGCGCCCAGCGCTCCCCGCCGCTCAGCAGCAGCCCCTCCCCTGGGGAGGGGACACCGGAGTCCGCCGAGGGCACGCAGGGGATTGTCCCTGTCCCCACCGCCCCTGTCCACTGTGACACATCCAGATCCATCTGGGGGGACACCCAGGGGTGCTGTCCCTGTCCCCCACCGCCCTGTCCCCAGTGACACACCCAGATCCATCCTGGGGACACCCAGGGGTGCTGTCCCTGTCCCCCACCACCCCTGTGACACATCCAGATCCTTCTGGGTTGCTGTCTCCAGGCCTGTGACACCCAACTCCATTAACGGGGCACCCTGGGGTGCTGTTCCCACCCTAGCCCCCCCACTCACCCAGCCAGGGCTTGAGGAAGCCGTAGAAAATTTTGTCCTTGGGGGCCACGAAAGCTGCAGGGTACAAGGATGGGGTGGGCAGGGATTCACTGGGATGGCATCAGGTCCCCTGGGTGGGGACACTGGCGGTGCCACCACCCTGTCTGCACCCATTAACTTCAGGTGGGGACCCTGGAGTGGGGACTCTCTCCTAGCACCCATGGCCACCAAAGGATGAGGGTTGGGGAACAACCAGGAGACTGGACATGGTGACACCTTTGGGTGGCCTAGGGGAACCCCATGGACAGGTTGGTGGCCATTATGGGATGGCATTTGGCCTGGCCATGGTGACACCTCTGGGGACCAGTGGGGTTGGGTTGGTGGCCACTGCCTGGGCACTGCCAGGTGTCTGTGCCAGGTGCAGTGACACCCATGGGTAGCCCTGGGGACCCATCTGATGTCCCATGTCCTACCTGAGGCACTGAGAAGTGGCCGGAGGGTGCTGGGGTGGAAGAGGCGCAGGACAGGCATCCAGGGAAGTCCCCACCAGAGGCAGCCATGACGGTACCGGGCCACCAAGGAATCCACCTGCTGTAAGCCTTCCTCTGTGCTCTGGCCCTGGGGACAACAGGGGACATGCGTGTCACTGGGGGCACAGACAGGCTTGGGGACATGTGTGTCCTCAGGACACTGCGAGCCTTGGGGACGTGTGCTGTCCCCACCGTCCCCTCACAGGTACCACCACCCGGTCCTCACCATCCCCCCAAGTGCCACCACCGCATTCCTTTGGTCCCCTCACAGGTGCTACCACCCAATTGCTCCTCTGCAGGTGCCTCCACCCCTGGTCCCCGCTGTCCCCGCAAGTGCCACCCGCTGTGCCCTCACCATGCCGGTGTGTCCCAGCAACCAACTGCGCCAGGGCGGGATGGGGAACTTGTTCAGCTGGCGACAAGTGGCCCGGAACCGGGTGACAGCCACCAGAGCATTCCAGAGCCACTGCAGCAGCAGGGCCACCACGAA